GTGTGTGTGTGTGTGTGTGTGTGTGTGTGTGTGTGTGTGTGTGTGGTGTGTGGTGTGTGTGTGTGTGTGTGTGTGTGTGTGTGTGTGTGTGTGTGTGTGTGTGTGTGTGTGTGTGTGTGTATCCAATATACTGGGTGTTATAAAAGATTCAAGCAATAATGATGTTTTCTGACTTCTAGACAATTTAGTCTTACTAAAAATTTCATTGATAATTTCATTACTCTTCTTTATGTTTCATCAACGTCAATCGCTTTGGTATTGAATCGTCGGAATTCTGCTATTTTGATTTTTTAAAACTTTTTGAGACTTTTAAAGTTAAACAATACTCGGATCTTATTTTCAACCCTCGAATGAAGAATTCATTTCGATATCGCTTTGCGTTGCCGTCTCTCGAGTTCTTTCGATCACCCTGTAGCGAGAACGGAAGAAGGGTGCGCCCTACTTCGCGTCGGCGTTTTCCCTCCTGAGCGGCCCAGCGTATGCAACGGGACGGGGGAAGGGGGTGCCAAAGAGTGCGAGGGTAGAAACGCGGGGATGTTGGCGGGGTACGGATGTACGAACGTACGAACGGATGGACGGAGAGAGGACGACACGAGATGAAGATACGAGGAGAGAAGAGCCGCGTGAGAGGGTATCTCTCTGTTTCGCTGTCGGGAGTTTCGCAGTCTCGCATTTCAACGACGACGACGCCGAACGTCGCTGGTGTCGCCGTTGCCGTTTTTTCCCTCGAGCAAGGGAACGCGCGCGCGCGTAAACGATAGATAGAAGCGCAAAGAAAAGGAGAGAAAGAGAGAGAAATATAGAGGGTGGGTGAAAGTGAGAAAAGGAGAAGGAGAACAAGGTGAAGGGAGGGGGGGGGGCATTCTATCGGGGAGACGCTCGCGAACCCCCTCGTATGTTGGCCCCCGCGACGAGAGCAGCGTTACGCTCGGCTAGCACGACGGGGCACCTCGTGAGAATTCGGGTGTCAGGGGTGCTTCCGTAGTAGCGGCGGTGGTCGGTGATGTGAGTGGTGGCGGTGGCCCGGTGGTAGCGGTGGTAGTGTCGTCGCTAGTGGTAGTGGTGCGGTTACAGTCGATACGACGTGGCGGAGGCACCGAGGAACTTCTCGTCGGGAAACGACGCGAGTGATGCACGTTGGTGGAACGTAGATTTACGTAAGAACGGCGACGACAACAGCGACGAGAGCCTGTCCGCCTGCTCGTCTGCCTAGTAGTGACGTCGTATGTGCTGGTCGCGTGTGCGCACGTGTGACGCCGCCAATGGATACTCGACGAAGTACCTGATCGAAAATCCGAGGGGACGTCCTCGGTGGTTTGGGCTCGTCGAACGGAGCGCGCGCTGCTCGGAGAGCGAGGGCGAAGGAACGCAGCGAGTACGCGAGTACCGCGAAGGGTGCTGGGGAAAGGACTCGCGAATGGATGAGACAGATCCGTTCAATTCCAATTTCTCTGATAGTTGGCCGCGGCGCGCAGGGAGGACTTCGAAAAACGGGTGGCTCCGTAAAATAAATTTCAAAGTGCGCGAGAGGAGCAGCAGCAAGTAAAAGGAGTATCGGGCGTAAGGAAGAGAACGCTAGGGTGGAAGGTGTAGACAAAAGGGGAGGAAACGAGAGAAAGAGATACGAGTGAACCTGGAAGGAAGGAGGATGGGCGTAAGATCAGTCCCGAGAGATTTTCCCGTGGCGGGAAACGCTTTTCGGCCGTTGTTGAGACGACGCGAATCCCGTGCGTCGTCGGGAAAGCAAGTGTCACGACACAGAGAGAGGAAAAGAGAAAGAGGAGTCGAGTTGTGGAACGTCAAAAGTTTGCTACGACGACGGCGGCAGCGACGACGACGACGACGACGACGACGACGACGACGACAATAACGATCCATCATGGGGGTCTCGGTGTTCCTGCTGTACGCGGTGACGGTACTTGGCGTGGCAGCCAACGGCGACAATTGCGCTGACAAGTGTTCGTGTAAATGGAAAAGTGGGAAGCGCACGGTGGAGTGCGTGAATCGCGACCTGACTAGCATACCGGAATGGATCGATCCGGAGACCCAGGTGTTGGACATGAGCGGCAATAACATCAGCCACCTGCCGAACCAAATTTTTATACGCGTGCGGCTGATGAATCTGCAGCGTCTCTATCTGCGTGAGAGTCGTATCAGTCGGATCGACAACCAGGCTCTGGACGGCCTGACAAATCTCGTGGAGCTCGATCTCAGCAACAATCTGCTGGTCACAGTGCCGAGCCTGAGCTTCAGCCACACGCCATTTCTGCGCGACCTGGTGCTCGCGTACAACCCGCTCAAGCGGATCCGCTCGCACACGTTCAAGAATACGCCGAATCTGGTGAAGCTCGATCTGTCGCACACGCAGCTCGTCGAGATCGAGGCGAAGGGCTTCCGTGGACTGGAAATGCTCGAGAGTCTCAAGCTGAACAACAACGAACTGTCCACCCTGCACCCGGGCACCTTCGAGTCGCTCAGCAAAATCACCAGCATCGAGCTGCACGAAAATCCGTGGATCTGCGATTGCCATCTACGCGAAATGAAGATGTGGCTGGTGAAGCATAACCTGCCGACCATCGTGGCGCCCGTGTGCCACGGGCCGCAGCAGTTGGTTGATCGTGCCTTCACCGATCTCGGTATCGACGACTTCGCCTGCCGACCGATCCTGCTCATAGCCAGCCGTTACGCCGAGGCTACCATCGGCGAAAACGCCAGCATCGTCTGTCGCGTGAGCGCGGTACCACCCGCGAAAGTCAAGTGGTACTGGAACGGCCGGCTGTTGACAAATCACTCAGCCTTCAGCAGCTATCAGAAGATCCTCATTTTCGAGGAGGGCCAGTACAGAAAACGGAGCACTCTTATCCTCACCAACGCCCAAGAGGCGGACTCCAGTGAGTTCTACTGCGTCGCCGAGAACCCCGCTGGCTGCGTCGAGGCGAATTTCACCCTGCACGTGTCCCTGAGAACGGCAGGCATGTCGACCCTAGGCTCGGGTCAGATCGCGGGCATATCCGCTGCGTTGGTGGTGCTCATACTTTTCATCCTGCTTATCATCCTCGTGCTATTCATTCGCTTGCGTAGAATGCCGCTGAAGGACATGAAATCCTCGGTACCGATGGAAGCGGCGTCCAGCGATGGTGTCGGCGGCGGCGGCGGCGGCGGCGGCGGTGGCAGTGGCGGCGGCGGTGGTGGTGACAACAACCCGCCGTCCGCGACCTCGACCACTCGCAGAAAACACGAGGAGATCGAGACGACGTCGTTCGCGGAATCGAAGCCGCCCGCGTCGCTGCATTTGAGCTACGTGCAGAGACCGCACGCGGCCGTGGTGCAGGAGAGCGAGTACAGCACGATCAGCCGTTTCGACGACCAGAATCAGCCCGCGGTGGCGGCGATGCCGAGCGCCGGGTGCTTCTCGTCGACGACGTCCTTGATGCCGATCGATAATCCGGATCTCATCAGGGACACTCGGCGCGGTTCCACCGAGGACATCACGCCTTACGGCGTCGCCGATTACGGCCGCGTCGAGGCGTTGGACGACGCCGGCAAGATGCTCTACACCAGCTGCCTGTGGGAGGCCAGGGACACCTGCGGGAGGACGTCTGCCGTTTCGGCGAGCGCGTATCCATCGAAAGAGCAACTCGCGGTGGTCGCGCCGGTCGTCGAGCAATTCCCGTCCGGCGCGAAGCAGATGAGAGTCTGGCAGAAGGGCGTCCCGGTGCTGCCGCCGGTCTCGGCGCTCAAACGCGTCCTGGGATCCACGCGCAGTTCACCCGACGAGGGTTATCAGGAGGGCACCGGCACCGACGTCTAGGTACCGCTACTTCATTACTGCGACGCCCGGCACCGTTATCTGGAGCTACGTAGGAGACACCAGGAGGACAACACCGATTGCTAAGGAAGGAATAAAGGGGAAGGAAAGAAAAGAAAAAAAGAATCGTCGTCCTCGCGAGTGCCGGACGGGCGGTAGTGAACAGTATGAAAGAATGTGTCGGACGAATCTCACGTTTAAGTGTGATCGCGTCAGTGCGATGATGACCGATGATAACGCGCCATTATTGTTGCGCTCGGACTACTTGGACTACTTCGCTCGATGGACAAAAACGTTACGCTCGCGATCGCGTTTGCGTATAGTGATCGAGGATTACGGTATTATACCGTAATCGCGTCTAATTAAGATATCATGCAAGTCGGCAAGTGCGACGATACCCTGCAATCGGGAAGGTACGGTACAGTTGTAATCCGTGTAATTTACACGGAGCCATAGACACGAGTAACGCACAGCCCACCCCTAAAGACTGCCATAACTAAAGTACACGAATCGAATATCGCTAGGCATATGCAAGGAGCTTTCGCGAGGTCGATGAACGGTCGCGAATCGTTAGAGACTGACATCATGACCATCCATGATCGTGTATAATACTTCGCTACGTTTCATTCGACGCGAATGAGCTGACTCACACTGGTTGACTGTATTAAAGGTCATCGCGTGCGATTCTCGAGCCGTAGGCAAAAACGACGACTGGGCTCTCTCGCCAGAGCCCATGCTCGTCGCAACAAACGTCTGCGTTTGTAGTGGTGCGATTCTTCGACGGCAATTAATAATATACAGTTAGAGATGCCTTGTGCGCGGTACATGTGATGCGACCAGTTGGCAGACGTTTGATTTCCATTTGTACGTGTCGAGGATTGCCTCCAGTGTTCAATATCGACGATGTTAACTTGTACAGGATGTCCCGAGAAAATGGTCAATGTTCGAAAAATGACAATGTCTCTCAAGCTTACCCCGAATAACAGACGGTTAGCTCATGGAAGAGTTTGCATTTAAAAATATGTAGATGTAGTGATCGGTAAGAAGATTTTTATCATTATCTTCGAATGTGTGAAAATTATACGTATCTTTAATTTTGCATTAATCTCTCGAAAATTTTAACCGCAAGCTCGACGAGAATCTAAATTTAGATATAGGTTAATTAAAATTCTCTTATTCTCAATTCGTCATGATTGACACTATTATCTTTCAAAATATTGGCCTTTCTCCTGGAAACATTCTGTGTAACGCAGCAATGGAAGATCAGTCGATCGCATTAAACGGAAGGCGATGTCTCGCCCACATGCGGAAATGCATACGGAAAGTGCATACACACGACGTGCACCAAGTCAGGGACGAGGAAGTGACGACGCTACGCCGGCCACGTCAGTGTCTGGGCGATCGTGCAACACAATATCGACGGGTAATACATTTATAACGGCTAAGCCAAATCGGGAGTTTGGGTCAGATAAGAGGCTAAAAATCTCCCGAATAAAAATTAGGTGACTCTTCTTGAGACGATAACGGGGAGAGAGCGGAAGACAGCAGTGCACGTTTCCGATAACGGGGACGACACGTAGAATTGTATAGGAAACGAGAAACGACGCTTATAAGCTACGAAGTATTTCTCGCAAATTTTTTCTAGTCAATTCGAGGAAAGAGAAAGAGAAAGAACGGGAGGAAAAAAAAAGAGAAATGGAAACGGATCACGACGGAATTATTTATTCGGTGGGGCGGGAAACTCGCGCTGGCAAAATGGCGTGTTCTCGATTAGAAGGAATACGTGAGGTAGTCTCGTTGAGTCAACGTTGGGTTATTCCGTCGAAGCTTCGGTCGACAAACTCTCACGATTACGGGTCGGCGAGCCTATATTGTTGCTTCGAGTGGCCGGTCCGAGTGGCTCTCGTGTCCGAGACGAAGCCTCGCGAGAACGATCGAGCGAGGGATACGGCGCAGAGGCGGATGCTGCCCTGGATCCATACTCACGAACACACGTTCCTCGATTCGATCGCAATCGCAGCCTCTTGGTGGATAATACCAATTTTTTTCGAGTATACTAAACTTCGTTATATTTTTGACTGATATAAAATTTATTTCCTAACTCTCGTTATTACGACTCAATTGAATTTTTTCCTTCATTTAACATTAAATTTTTAATAATAATTCATCGTAACGCGTGACGCACAAGGATAATTTATTTTATATGAAGACATGTACAGGATTATATTAAATTTGTATAACACAAATGTGCAACACATGTCAATCGATAATATTGATGACGTTTGATATTGAAGCTTAAGACTTTCAACATTGATGAAGTGCTATTTGCGAATACGTGTGTCGGTGACGGTGAACCCAGAGTATATGTAGGTCTCGATCGTTGTCTTTTTGCACGTGCAGCAGGGCCACTGGAATCAATTACATAAGACTGCGATAAGTCCGTAAACCAATCGCGAGCGAATGTATACTATTGCTCAATCACTAAAGCTGGATTTCGCAATTGATTGGTTGGCTTATACCTAACGTTAGTATCTTACGTAAGTGAGGCTTTGTCGATCCACGCATTTTACGGTAAACCGTAGTCTGTCAAGTTGGATTACTGTGCTCCTACAGGGATAATTTTGTGTCACATTAAATGATCATCTCAGAGAAAACTATCGAATGTTCGACAAAATTATCGATAGATAACGTATCTCCGAAGAATCTACGGTCATAAAATACGTTCTAAAAAAAGAAATCTTTACAGCAACAGAGCAATCCTTGTATCGTTATATTTTTGCTTTCTATCCATCGACTTTCGATGGATATCTTTGATGTATTGCGCATTGCGTATATTTCTAAATTTAGTTTATTCTTTTTCGAGTAATAAAAGTAATCATGTTTCTTCAAATTATTTATAACTTGAAAAAGGTTTTACGTTCTTACGCCAATGGACGATGTAACGACAAAGTTACGAGCTACTTTCTCGGAGCCACCAATTTATCCCGGAGGCATTTTTTTTTATCTCTGTAAGGGAGGTAAGCTAACTGATCTGACGATAAGTCAAAATGGCCAATAGCGAGTTTCATTCGATCCCGCATCTAAAGTATGTCGACGTGCGTTCATTTTGTATGCCGTATATAAGCATGTACCCGTGGCGTGTGCGTGCCTGTGTGTGTGTGTGTGTGTGTGTGCGCGCGTGCGTGTGTGTGTGTGTGTGTGTGTGTGTGTGTGTATGCGCGTGTGCGTGGATGCGAGTGCGGACGCGTGTGTTCCGTGCGTGTTGCGCGTACACGTTTTCCGTTCGTCGAAAAAGCACGCGGTCGAGATAGCGCGCGCGCGAATTCGGCGCTTTGCGTTTATCACCGATTGTTCTATAGCGTATCGCGCGGAACGACCGGTTTTTTTCTCTGCTCAATGATCTCGAAGCCATATCCGTCATGTCGAAAAAATAGCGCCCCGAAAATAGCGCTCGCGGTTATCACGGACGATACATGTCGCGTGTACACACAGGACTGAACCACTCTCTCGGACTTTTGCATTAATTCTTATATAACTGGAAAAAAGAGGGGGCGAGAGTAGAAGACATACGCGTGACACGCAAGTAAACCGACTGACTACGTGAACTCCGATTGTACTGAATATTCTAAGGGCAATCACAGAGATTACGGGACCTTTTCTATCTGACAATTTCTATTTTCTGTTGCCCGTAATTAAAAGTCGTGGTAATTAACGTGGCTTTAAGTGACGGGAGAAAAATTCATAGGGACACAAAGCGAGCGACAACAATTACGTTGCCTTTCAAACGACTACCGTTTTAGCTACCATTTTTTTTTACAAATGTGTGATATATACAGAAAACGAGATGATGATCTTCGTAGTTAACGATTCATTTTTATAATTTTGACATTATTAACAGAACCATATCTCTTTCTTCATTTACTTGTTCGTCTAGGTTTTAATTGCTATCTTATCGAACAAACGGATTACAAATAATCGATTTCCCCATTTTTCCCCTTTTTAGTTCCCTCGGAAATTTCGTTTCGTAACAATTTCGATTTGAGGAATGCGCCGTTATCCAATCCTACCTATCATTCGTAGCGATTCGCTCGTTAATCTACGTGAACCGAATTCGTCCTCGAAAAAAATTCGTTTGAAACTTCCTACGTGCAGTTTCGCTTATATATATACGCGACGCTCGAAAAAAAAAGAAGAAAAAATTGTACGATATACAAGTTCGCGAATTTTTTCCGCTTTGCGGATATCGTTGCGCGTTACCAAACTCGTTCATCTTAGAGCGGTGGTTACGTTTCGCAAAATCGCAATAAAATACGGACTGTCTGAAAATGTCGCGTTCCTTTCTCAACTTTTACCCGCTTGTTTAAAATGTTGCTCTCGAGCATTTTCGCGTATACCGGCATGTCGATCGTTCAAAGAAGCCGAGAGTCAACTGTTGCGTGCAAGTGAGTCTTTATATCTGATTTCCGCGAGTTTTTTTTTATACCTCTCTCGATCGACGTGGCACACAACTGAGTAACGTCGGTTCAATATACGCAACGATAACACCCGTTGTTGTCTACGTAGCGACTATAAGGCACGTGAGGTCTAGAACCTGTGCAAACTCGATACGAGTCATATTGATCGGAGAAATGCGACATTAATTGCGATCTGCTGTCAAAATCAAAGTGCGAATCTTCGGGGTGTAGTCAATATCACGTGCGTTAATATCACGTATTATTTAACAAAAATTTTTACAAAGTACTTGTTGGATGATATAATCCGGCAAAGCAGGATTTATATATACACGCATACATACATAGAGAGATCACACGAACGTCGTAATACTGTCATAGGAAAAATTAACCGTTTATGAAATTAGGACGCGATAAAAATCATGTTACGAAGAATTAACACGTAACGAGATATGTTAAACATGTATGCTGTCGAGCAAAAAGATCAATATTCTAAACATTGGGAGATTTGATTTGAAATTTTATTCCGCGAGAAAATCTCTTTCAATGCTAAGTCCCCGGTGGTCACAGAAACTACCTGAGTAATCCTTATTGATTTGTTCTCTTGAAAGTTTTGCGCTCTGAGAATGATTCGATAATAAAACTTAGCGAGTACGCTTAGAATAATGCTGTTTCGTAGACTCACCGTGGACTTTGATTTTCACTTTTCCAAATAAATACAGGGACGTTCTTCGTTCGTTAAAATTTTTTTTTCTTTTGAAAAATAAACGATCGTGTAGTTAATTATTGACACGTGGCGTGCGATATTGCGTGAGACGAAACTTTTGTTGTGTACACGAATGCCTTATTTGTAAATACGGGCAGATCACGATTTTATATTTGTTAATGAGAATAACTTATCGAATAATTTATTCAAATTGTGTTCAACATTTCTACGTGCTATTTCGCACACGATATCAGATTAACGTTAAAGTTTTATTATGACATTTTCTATAATTTATTATCGATTAATTTAATACTGTGACAACAGCTTAGAATAAATTAAAATATATTTAACGGTAATAAAGCATGAATAAACATTAGTTATATGAAGCTATTTTAACTTTTAATGTATAATTAAGCTCTTGATTCAAGTTATGACAACATAAAGCTCAATTAAAATTAAACTACAAACGAAAGTTTCGTTAATATTATTCGATTTATAGAGAGATGGTATTATAAATTCAAACATATACGCATGTGACTTCTCCTTCTTTTTTCTTTCTATGACTGACAGAATAACACGATCCTTCTAATTGCAAAGTATTGATAACGCGATTACGTATTTGCATATTTTTACGAGAAAATATATTTGAAACACTGCCGTGAGAGGGGGGGACGGGATTGCGCGAGACGAGCGTAAACAACCCTGTGCACATATTTTCTCACTTCTTAAGGTAATTTCGCTCACCGAAAGAAGCTTCGCCCCTAGCGTGAAAATATACTTTCGCGACCGCACAACGTTCGACGCCGGGTTTTCGTAAAATTTACACACCTCGAATTTTCGTACCTTCGAAACCATATAGACGTATTAACATAATGTTACGCAGCGACGAATTTAGAATATCCTGGGCGTGAGACGAGGTATATTTCGAGCCCTTCAAAAAGAAGATATAAAATAAATCAGATGAATTTTATAGGTATATATGTGTACTCTATCGTAAATATTTTTAACTAGAGTTTATAAAATTGTTATAATGTTTTAATGTTTCTTATTGATGTGGCCAAGACCGGCCGTATAGCTTTATTGTCTAGGCCAAAGTTTGCATCAGTTGTTACGGATCGTTATTATCCGAATATCGATACAACGTTTCCGATGGCATTTCCCGTTGTTGTGTATCGTGACGTAACAAACGAGTACCGTCTGTCTTAACAATTGGCAGCAATAAATTGTAGTAACTACCAATCGACCGAGAAGTATTTTAAATTAAAGCGATAGCGGGACAAGTGGCATGTGCGAGAATGAGAGAGAGAGAGAGAGAGAGAGAGAGAGAGAGAAGAAGAGAGA